AAATAAAACTTTAATACTTGTATTATTAAATTTTAAATAATATATATTAATATTCATAAAAAATTATTTTTAAAATTTTTTGTCAAATATTTTATAAATATTTAAAAAAATGTTTTAAAGATTATAGATATCAATCTATCATATCACTTTTGTATTGCTATCCTAGGCCGGAGCAGCGCATGTTAGCACGCTTTCTGGAAAAGGCCGACACGTGGTGACCAGCTCCAAGATGATTTTGACTGAAATTATCGGTGACTTGTGATTGAGTTTCAGTTTCATTCGGGTTTCATTTCACTCATCGTCTGATCCTTTTTTCTGTAATTTTTTTGCTACCCCTCATTTCTTTGCTATCATCTCCATCTCCCTGCATATACATACAGATTATATATCTATATACACACACATACACACAAAACTAATCCTTATTCTATTATCTTTTGCAAATTTCGGAGTTTTCTAAGTCGATGGACTCGAATCTCTCATATCTCGGAATATGATATCAAAATCAAACCCTAGCTCTTTTATCAAAGGTTGAATCCTATTGGGTTTGTTAAAAAAATCGCTTTTTGTTTAGGATTTTGAAATTTTCGTATCCGATCTTCAATCGTTGGAAATTTGATCGGAAAAAAAGAGATAAAAATGCCGTCGCACGCGGATGTAGATAGGCAGATAGAGCAGTTGATGGAGTGCAAGGCGTTGACGGAATTGGAGGTGAAAACTCTTTGCGATCAAGCTAGGGCTATACTTGTAGAGGAATATAATGTGCAGCCGGTGAAGTGTCCGGTTACGGTTTGCGGTGATATTCATGGTCAATTTTACGATCTAATCGAGCTGTTTCGGATAGGTGGAAGTACTCCTGATACGAATTATCTCTTCATGGGAGATTACGTCGGTGAGTTGCTACTTGAATTCAATTTTTGTGTTTTTGAATTTAGGTCTTTAATCGATTGGAATCGAGTCCTTTCAAAAAGGGGGCCAAGCCCCAATGGTAAGTATATTGAGGGCGGAAGTATAAACCTCTTCATCCCGGCCGGAAACTGAGGAAGAGGAAAGACCTGAACCAGGGAGCGTAGAAGTTATTTCAAACTGTTATGCTAATAAATCGAGTAATATGCATGGTAATTGTGCTAATGAGGTGTAAATAGTATAGAAGATTAAGAGATTGATGCCATATCTGATCGAGTATAGAAAGTTTTCAGGAGGGGTATATGTGTTATCCATTTGAGTTTGTGTTGAAATTGATGATATCTATGCAAATATTGGTGGGATTTTGAAGGCAATCAACGCATAACTGAATTAGAACTCCAAATGAGCTTTGTGATAACAATGGAGGTTGTGGGTATCTTTAAGGATTGCCATATCATCTTCTTGTAAAACTCCCTTTATTCAAATCTGGAATGTTATTGTTTATGCATTGATTATAAACCAAGTGTATTTGACCACTTTTTTAAAATCTTTTTTGACACTTTGGATACAGAAGTAGAAATCTAGGTGATTGAAGAAGATCTCAGTATCATTGATGGGGAATGATTAGTTATGAAATTGTAGATTGTGCAGTGTGTGGTGACTTTGTTGACAAGATTGGTGGAGGCAAGAGATGGACTGTTTTAGATGAACCAAGCTTAACTCTTCATCAATTTGTATTCCTAGGGGTAACCGTTTATACACATGTGCATACAAGTAATTTGTCCAGAGTGCACATGTGTATAACATGCACCCATGCATTGAAACCAAGAAACAACTTCAATTACTTGTATGCACATGTGCATACTGTACACATGAATGGTTACCAGGTGTTCCTCTCAGTTTTTCATTTTTTGGGGTTTTCCCCTAAACCTCCCTCTGTATTCTTAAACTGATTAATATCAATGTCCAATCAAAGTTGTAGTTAATTGATGTTCTTGGGCGACAGTTCCTATAGGAGATGAATCATGAAAGTATTTGGTCTTTCAAAAATCTAGAGGAATATAAGAAGTCTACCCAAGTAATAGCTGAATAGTTGTAGCTCGTTCAAATTTCATGATTATAGGTTGCCAGCTTCTATCTCATTCTTCTAAGAAGTGGATATTGTTTTCAATGGAGGATCGTTGAGTTGGAGGTTCTTGTTTACATTTACATAGATACATAACTTAGAATCTGGTCTACTAATTCTGATTCATTTGATTTACTTGATTAGTGTTTGATAATGATTATGTGGTACATGATCTTGCAAATTGTCTACTGCATCTTGTTAGATATTGTATAAGAGATATAAACTCATGCTATGAACGGTTATTACCTACAAAGAAAGAAAGTAAAACTTTGAGTTCATAACTTTTGAATAAATTTTACCTTTAGATTACCCTTTCCCAAAAGGCGTGCTTACCTTTTATATTATTATTAATTAGATTTCTTGTTTTTGCCAACTAATTCTTTTATTTTGGAAGGTGGTACTGGGTTTAGAATGGTAATTGTAGGAACTTGTTTCCACACCGGCTTTTAGTTATTTTTGTTAATTGGTCACTAATCTCTTGTGCGGATGCTTATATATTAAATCAACTTCTTTCTTTCTTTCAAGTAAACAATTGAATACTTTGTTTAAGATCGTTCTAATCATATTGTCATTTCAGATCGTGGGTATTATTCAGTGGAGACTGTCTCCCTTTTAGTGGCTCTTAAAGTTCGTTATAGGGACAGACTTACAATTCTTAGAGGAAATCATGAGAGCCGGCAGATTACTCAAGTGTAAGATCTCTACTTTGTTAAGTAATACCATAATTTTTATGGGGTCGAGTTCTTGTAAAGCTCAAAATGCAGATTATATACCTGTCTATCTTATGCCTAGAGGATTTTGCGTACAATCTGCAAGCTTTGTTCTCGTATTATTGTATGTTATGTAAGTATTTCGTAACTCAAGATATCTTGATATTAATGTTAGCGGGCATTATCCGCTTATTATCGGGGTGTGGATGTAACAAGTTTAATGTTACAATCTTCATAAAATCGTCGAGTTCTATCTTTAATGAACTGCATCCATTTTCACATACAATTTCTGATGGTATTCTGAACCTGCATATGCCCATATATAACCTTTCTTTGGCATGAACTATGAGATGTGTGCCTGAGACCGGAATATGTGCAGGATCATGTGAATGGATAAAATGGTTCAAGTTTTTCTAAATTTCGATGCTATATACTATATGTGGGTATAACCTTGACGGCCAACTCAACTGGCAAATAAAGGTTAGGCCTTCCCATAGGTTGCCAGTTCGAGTCTTCTTGGGCCATCGGGGATTTTTCTAACTGTTATCTCTGGGAGCCGTTGGGATTAGTTGAGAAGCGCGCAAACTGGCCCAAACACACAGTTATCCAAAAAATTGTACTTCTGCACATTAAGAGGTTGCTTTTTGTTTGGAATTGTTTGTACTAGTAGTTTGCTTGTACTTCTTACACACCAAGTTCAACATAAATACCATAACAAAAATAAGTGTTGATGTGTCATTTAAAAGGATATTTTGAATTTCGTTGAATATTCGTGCTTATAGTTGCATGTATCCACACATATTAACTATTAGTAAAAAAATTATCATATATGTCTTTCTCTCTTCGTCACACTTTTCACAAGTCGGGTGTCTTTCATAGAAACAACAGTTCTACTCTTTGGGGTCCACGGACCTCACCTCCAGGTGGGATATTCTGGGTTTGTTTGGTTTTGGTTTGGTTTGGTTTGGTATAGAAATATTAGTGAAAACATTTGTAGGGTTTTGCTAGCACTTGGAAGAGGTTATAATACGTGCAAGATTCTACTTCCCATCGAATTTCAGATATCAAACATGATATGCACGACTTATTGGGAAAACCTCAATTGTTTGTACGTTTCCATGAAAAGCAGAATTATGCGTTAGATCTAGCTTACAAGAATAAGATGGTTAATAGAAATTTATGGTTTTCTTGATGATTTCCATTTTTGTATTCTTCAATTTTCGGGTTTCGCGTTTTGTTATTAATCCTTTCTCTTCAACTCAGGTATGGTTTCTACGATGAATGTTTGAGAAAGTATGGGAATGCAAATGTTTGGAAATATTTCACTGACCTTTTTGATTACCTTCCTCTTACAGCACTTATTGAGAGCCAGGTTAGAATCATGCACAATGTTAGTCACACTTGCATACATATTACCATCTTATTAATCGTTTTGTTGATACGTCATAGATCTTTTGCTTGCACGGAGGACTTTCACCATCTCTGGACACACTAGACAACATTCGAGCCTTGGACCGCATACAGGAGGTACGTGAACGGTTTTCCTTTTCCATGCTTTGAAATGTATTTTCTTCATTGCATGCAAAGATACCAGTCTGGACTTAGGGTCTGTTTGTTAGCAGCTTAATATGACTCACAACTTATTCGGTCAGCTATACATGATTGTTTGGTAGTGGCTTAATGATATAGAAAGTGGCTTATTCAGTAAGCTTCTTGGGGAAGCTTTATGCCGAAAACCGAGTTTTTCCCAAACATGCCCCTTCCAATTAAAAACATGCTCCTTCCATCTATGAAAAAGAAACCCCAAACAAAAACCTTTCTGATCTATACAGACAGATTAATCAACACGGACCACTTTATTCATGCAAGACTTGATGGAAAACCAACCAAACAGCCCCATATTCACCTTATGACTCAGCATTTCAGTTTTTTCTGTTTTTCCAAATATATTGGAAAGATCTCTATAACTTCGCATCTTTTACCTTCTATGGAAAATTGATGTCTCCTTGATTATGGCTCATCATATAGACCCCGACTTAGAGTTAGAAAGACAGTTCGAGCCAACCTTCCTTTTTACATAATCAAACCAAACGATCCCAGTAAATCCATACTGATTGGAGGGTCTAGGGAAGGTAAGATGTACGATACATTTTCTCCTTATATGTAATATATAATTCATAAAATATACGAAGAATTTAGGATTTCTTTTATTATACCACCTCCAAATGCTGAAAAATAGTTTCTAATATTTAGGATTTCCTTTAAACATGCACTATTGTGTGAAGGGTTTTCTTTGGTAAGCACGGGTTTGGGTCAACTTGCGTGCAGGGTAGCATGTCAGGGTCTCATTTTGTGTACCGTAAGTTCATACCCCAAAATGCGACCCTTAGTCGTGCGTGACTCTTGCATGGCTGGGTAGCATTTTCCTGTGTCATGCTTTTCTTCGACCACTTGTTCCATACAACCCTCTTAAGCGTGCCAACCATTTTTTTTTGTGTTCTCTCTATTCTATCAACCTGTAATGGAATGATAAAAAAAAATAGTGGGTTCTTTAGCCACAGATATGGGTATTACGTAGGGAATTCGATCATAAAATATACAACAAATTTGACAATTATCAAACAAACTAATCCCATGGCCCCCTAAATATAACAGTCATGAAAATCCCCGGTGGCCCTCAAGAGATAGTGTTAATTGCTTCTTTCCAATTTGTTTAGTAGGGTTCCATTTGGTAATCAATGCGTTTCTTCCCAAGTGTCGATATGCTTTCATGTTGAAGTTGACGTTTTTTTAGAAACTCGACACATTTACTTTGTAGGTCCCACATGAAGGTCCGATGTGTGATCTGTTATGGTCCGACCCAGATGACCGGTGTGGGTGGGGAATATCTCCTCGTGGAGCCGGGTATACATTCGGACAAGATATCGCAAGCCAGTTTAACCATACTAATGGACTCACTCTCATCTCAAGAGCTCACCAGCTCGTGATGGAGGGTTACAATTGGTGCCAGGTTCGTTTAATGATCAAAATACACCACATCATAATTAAAATTTGTTCGTTGATTGATGTGAATGTTATGATTCCGTTCAGGAAAAGAATGTGGTGACGGTATTTAGCGCTCCAAACTACTGTTACCGATGTGGAAACATGGCTGCGATTCTGGAAGTTGGGGAGAAGATGGAACACAACTTTCTTCAATTCGATCCGGCCCCAAAGCAGATCGAACCGGATAGCACCCGCAAGACTCCAGATTATTTTTTATAAAGATGATGAATAATGGATATTCATTATGAATAGAGGGGTTTGTGAGTTCAATATTCTTGCCTGCTTGTAGATGAATGAAATGAAGTTAGGGAAGAGCTATACATACAGATTGTTGTATGTATTTGGAGAATGGAGTTTAAACAAGTGATGGAAGGAAGGAAGGAAAGAAAGAAGGAAGAATTTATGATTTCATATATTTTTGTATATGTTTTTTATGCTGTTTTGGCAAGAAAAATGCAGCCACCAATAACATGCTATGCTTTGTTCTGTTTACCTTTCATTCAACTCTTCTATTTTCTTGAAAACTGGAATTCTTGATTTTTGTGCCTTTTGGATAATATGATGAGTTTAGTGCTATAGAGTGATGTACAGGTTGGATGGAGATTTTTACCCGTTAACGTGGGTATTTGGGTATCTGATCCTAATAAGACGAGAATCCCTGGTTTGACGGGTAAAGAGGAAGAGACGGAGATTTATTGATTATACACGAAGCAGGTTCGGGACAGAGTCGAGGATGACATTGTCTGTTCCTAATCCGATTCGAGTAACGGGTGGGTATTTGATCCTAATAAGGTGAGAATTTCCATGGTTTGGCGGGTAAAGAGGAAGAGCCGGAGATTTATTTTTATACCCGAAGCAGGTTCGGGACAGAGTCGGGGATGACATTGTTTGTTCTTAATCCGTTCCGATTAAATTTTTTATTATTTTAATATATATATATATATATATATATAGTGTGTATATAGATATATATATGTGTGTGTATATAGATATATATATATATATATGTGTGTGTATATGTGTATAAATCTATTATTAAATAA